GCATACGGAAAACGTATAGAAGCAAACAGCAAGCAAGCAAGTAACGTGAGTGCTGAGTCCAGTGTTCGATCAGACCGGGAGAGACTTGGGCCAGTGAGCGCAATAAGAGGAAGGACGAAACACACACACACGCGTACATTCGCAGTAAGTAGAGGTGACACGGAACACTGGCTGAGGGCACATCAACTGCCTACCAATGTCTACCTCGAAATGGACGAGGCCCTATCTTGTGCAATGAAGAACTTGCTGAAACAATCTTACAGCCACCTTCTCTAGGGAGGGGATTGCAACCTGCACGGCCTAGAAACCGTCGCTACCCTGGGTGAACAAATCAAGGCGGAACAGCAAGAGTTGATCACCGATTCTCCGCTGTACAACCACGTCACTTGTCCAGGACGTTTCAGGACAGGAAACAAACCGGCCATTTTGGTTCACATTTTTACATACAAGGAACTCATGGTTGACGTTGTAACACCGTGCCCTCCTTTGGGCTGCAGCGATCCTGCGATACTAGCGTACCCATGCTTGTGCTACGCAGAGTATCCTAAGAAACATATCGAGGAATCTTACTTCATAAGCACCTATGATAACATGTCCGAACTCATTAGTGCAACAAGCTGCTCATTCCTAACGGAGTGGTCCCCTGAGGCAGCCTGCGGGGAATTTGTCGACAAAATCAACATGCTCGTGGCAAGCAAATCTGGAACTGAAATCCGCCGGCCCGGAAAGAGGAAGTCATTTCTAAGGAACAGCACTTGGAAATGCACGGCACTGAGGGACTTGGCATTGCTCACCCACTTAGTCTTTCCGAGAGAAGATGCTTGGGGTATGTGTGCAACATAATGTATCTACTGTGTCAAACTCGTGCTGGAGGACCTTGTAAAAAAACCAACGATATCTTGTGGTTAACTTTTTCTTTAACCCCAAACGGCTATACAGGCACGTAAACAAACTTCGCCTAGTTAATCGCAGAATTCCTGCTCTGCACAAAGCATGAGGGTTAGTGGGAATGGTAGAATTGGTAGCCATCGTTCTTGGACAACAATTTGGAAGTGCCTTCCAATGGGTGCAAACACCCTTACACTATGCCTACGCAGATCATGTTGCCAGCAGGCCTTAACTACATATGTTTTACAACCGTAGCTGTACTGAAACGTCCAATGTCCTTGCACGAATTCAGCCCCTCGGGTGCGGAAGGCATTCGCCCGAAGCCGTTGAAATTTGCTACCATCAGTTTAGCTGAACTGTTAGCAAAACTCTTGCAGCGATCTTTTAATACGACGCAAATCCCCTCGATGGAACCGCATGGGAGCATCGATCCAGTCTACAAAAGTTGTAACCTTTTAGAACTATCAAACTATCGCCCGATAACACTTCTTTCGGTGAACTCCAATCTCATGGAGTCCGTTTTAGCTGAGGCGCTCAAAAAGTACCTGAATAGTAACGCAATTCCCATTCTTGAGCGACATAGATTTCACTTAAATTGGTCCTGTTGACAGCTCGTTCAAGCTGGACGGGATCCGTAGACACTGGTGTAGGAGTGGTCGCAACCAACCTGGATTACTCATAGGCATTCGACCGCGTGGATCATCGAGTTCTGCTACACAAAACCAGAATTATGACATTCGCGATCCAGTTCGGCGATGAGCGGACGACTTTCACGTTTAACGTCACTTGAATGTGAGGGTTTGCAGTACCCTGTCGGAACCAATCGAATTTCAGTGCGGCGTAACTCAGGGCTCGGTACTCTGAGCCCGCTTGTTTTCGGTCTTCATAAATGACCTCACAAGCGCGTAGTTTTCAAACTGTCTACTGTTTGCCGATGATCTGAAGCTATGACGTGCTATGGCTTCAGGGGATGTTCATACAGCCCTACTGGATGACCTGGACAAAGCGTACACATGCTCCATCGAAAACATACTGCCGTTCAACGCCACCAAGTGCAAAATTCTGAGCATACTCCACCCGAGTACTCGCAACTACCATGTAGGACCATAAACTCTATACCGGGCTTTTCAGAGGCGCGGCCTCGACGGGTTCGTTTAAGAGGACTTTGGGTGTTTGAGACAGGCTGAAATAGCATCAAAGCAAGCAAACCAACACTTTGGCCTTCTTCCTAGTGCTTTCGGGAAGTATGACACCTCAATCTTTCCGAAAATGTTTGGCACGTAAGTGATAGCGCATGTGGAATACGGTATCCAATTGTGGCAACCCTTGCTGAAGCACCATTTCACCTCGTTTGATACTGCACAACGCAGGGTGGCGGAAAACATCAGAGGACTGTCTCTCCCCCTCTACCCAGACAGCGGCCGTTATCGGCGTCTACGAGGACATCTCATAATGTTGTATCAGATACTGAGAAACCCAAGCAACATATGTTATTCTCCTATGAAACACCATCAAAACAAATCCCTAAGGGTCGGTGACTGAATCCCCCACAACTAGTGGCAGCGACTATATTTATTGCACTGACATAAAACTAAATGGTCAGTGATGTGGTACTATTGATTTCTGGTGTCATTTACTGCGCCAATGTTTCTTTGTTGTCACTGCCGTGCGTGTTACAACTAATTATTCGTCCGTCTTGAGTGCAAGACACACGTTCAAGCTTTTGGTCAAATTCTGACAGAAATTCTGCTAAAATCAAAAAAGGCGTCAGCAGAACACCGATATATCGTACTGACGCTTCGCAGCCACTCGACAACCGCCAGTGGCACATCTGCTGGATGTATCGCGAGGTCGCTCGCAACCAGTCCTTCTGAAGTATGTCGCCCCATAACTTGGAGGACGACATCGTTTTAGAAGCCATTGCTCTACATGAGAATGTGCGTTCATTATTCACTTAGTGCTAAAACGCAATTCCGGAACTAAAAATGATGACGATATACTAGCTCTGCAGACCCAGTTAGTATTTAGTGATCTGGACATACAAGGATGGAAAAATTAGAAATGTTGAACCGGCTAGTTATCAGGGATTTTTATGCTTCGACTCCATCGCACTAAGCAATAACCGCAGATCGTCCCATTCAGTAGTCCAAATGCTGCAAATTACTTAACTCGGTGATGGGAGTGTCATACCAGAGTGAACGGACGGGTCAACCGAGCTAGCCAGATAGCCAAAGGGATGCAGGGGTAACTGATTTCATTGCTGGACGTGGATTGGCCGACATACATGTGCGTTAATCGTAGTCTGTTTAACTGAATCAAAGGAAGAACCTCATTACCTAAGAATGGTCGTTAGTTATGGACGAGAACGCGTAACACATAGCGATGAGTTTGGCTTGCCAAACGTGCTGTAATTTTCACTGAGCTGTCTTTGTCGAATAAACGCTTGTCCCTGAAGGACTGAGTTCTGCAACAAACACCACCACCAGTCGCGCGTTGGCTGGGTATACCGCGAGGAGGTTCGCCCCTACGCGGATGCGAACCGGTAATCTTGTGATTGCAAACCAGGTGCGCAGACGACTCGGGCACCGGCGGTAACGAAGCGCAGTTACGACGAACAGCTGACATTATGATTACTAGTAGTAGTATTAGTATGTTCTTTTCTTAAACATAGATGCCATTGTTTGTTAATTGTTTAATCATTAACGCACGTATTTTATTTTCCAAAGGCCATATGGTAACTATTATCCAACTTTACTATCAAATAAATCTAGGAGTAGACTTTTTCAGCTTATTACTCTTATGACTGATTTATGCCTCGAGAATGACTCTTACATTGGTATTTGTTCATTTGGCATAAGCACTTTATAACTATGTTTTAAAGGGTGACTTCAAAAGGTATGTGTGTCACGCAATTATATCTCAGCACTTTACCATCCCTCCGGTTTCGTTGTTCCTGTCCTGAGTAATCTAGCTTAGGTTGGGAACAAGAACCATGACCAATTGCGGTATCTTGTATCTGTTGCTTTTAAATAAATAAATGTTTTATTCTCGACAATTCGAGACAAACCTGCAAAAGCATGATAATCGTTATACAAACACTAAGGACTGGTAAATGTAACTAATGGTACACGTTTTTCAGTGGTAAATGGATCCATAAGTGCATATGAATGTATGTAAGAATGTGTGTGGCTGCGTTGCTTTAATTTGTACATGTGACGCCGCATTTGTGATTGATTTCGATCAGGTCGTCGGCGTGAGAAGGGGGGAAATGAAACCTTCGTCTCGGGTGACTGACGGTCGTGGATTTGGTAATATCACCCAGATACCTAAGAGGCAGTGAGTTTAGTTTGTGGTTAGTCACATTTGCTACGTCGCTGGTTGTTACATAGACACGTGTGGCTTTGTAAAGGGAGAATACGTGCCAGGCGGAAACCGAGCACATCCTGGAACAGTGCCGCTGGAACCGGGTAAACTCGAATCACCTAGCTGGCACCACGAGGACGTTCCTCGGCGGAACAGCTCGTAGCTTGTTTTTATCTTTGTCTTTAAGTACACCGGCTATAGTCTCTAAATTGATACCCACAGGGGGCATGAACCATTCGCTCCGGCTGCATTGTACAATCTGATTACGCTCACGTTGTAGTAAGCGTCCGCAGTTCTCCCGCACCTCAGCTGCGTCTGTCCTTTCGAACTGTCACAGTATGCGTAAACAGTCTTCGTTAGGTCTGAGAAAAATGGTGAGCTTTGAAAGCCCGTAGGTGAAATGGAATCCCGATGTTGGCGGAGAATTCAGTTTACCGCTAATTGTACGTGACGAATTCTGTGACCTTATAATTTGTAAACGTTTGTAAGGAATGAGTAGATGCGTTGGAATGACAGCAACCGTGACGAAATTCTGTCGACAGTTCCCCTCCGGCAGCACATTTGATTATTTTGCCCCCTAGTCCGATTGCGAAGGCAGTACCACTTTACCGAGACATTTCTGAAGCAAAGCACGCAGTTTGCGTTGTGGGACGGATATATAGTTTAGCGCATTCTTTGCTAAATAACTACAATTTTCTATAAGTCAAACATCATATTGTTATTATTGTATCTATCTCATTCTCCACAAGTCCAAACACCGTGTCATCTGTCTCAAAAATGCCCAAAGAAAGCGAAAGGTTTTCGATAGTCGTCTTCAGCGTGCCAGGGGCCTCCAGATGCCGAAGACGAAGACAGATTCAGCGGCTATTCTCCGAGAGCGCGAATTAAAGTTGGCCCAGATTCAGGAGCGAAAATCCAATTGGCGTATGAAACATGAGGAATTTATTTCAGCGATTCGCGCGGCTAAGGAATATACATTTGCCAAGAGATCCGGTGGACCATTGCCCCCTCCGCCTCCAAGTACCATTGACCCAGGTAAGGCCGTACTGTTAGTTACTTCTTTAGGTAACACGTGTACACTGTTATTGCAGGTTATTAGCTAACCTCAGATATCACAGATTTGCAATTTCCCTTATCACACCTTTTGCATTCATTGGAACCAATTCACATTGTAGAAGGGGAGAATCAGATCAGCAACTCAAACGAGGAAAAAGCATAGCGTTTACTCGAAATTTTGACTTTATATGCTTCAATATCTGACAAGTCGGGTGAAATCATTGTTGTGGTATTAGTTGTCGATACATGATTTACAAATTTTTGCGAAGTCTGTATATCTTTTAGTTAAAATAATATTTTAAATCCAGGTGAAGACCATTTGTAGCTACATGAACAATCCATTTGGTGCTCTACACCACTATGTCGATGGTCGCTCAAGCAGTTGTTGGACTGAAAGAAACGATATTCATTCGCTGTGCGAATTCATCACAATCGGACCCGAAAAAAGCAGCAACTTCATTGACCACTCACTTGTCCTCTCGAAACACATCTGCATCGTGTATTTGTCTAGTAGAGTGATAGAATGAGATTCGCGCCCATAGACTTGTCAGGCGTTGTACAAAACCGTTTGGTCCTAGTTGATGAAAACCACTAACATAACAGATGGACCGACTGTAAGGTGGGGAGATCCCCTCCCGAGACCACGCATAATACTGAGGTGGGGATGCTAGAGTTGGCCTCAAGTTTCCGTAGCCATACAACAGTCTATCAATAAGCTGAGCAAATGCTTAACTTAAGAATACTTACCATGAGACCCCTTGTTGATACTTCTTGGGTGCTTACATTTATGAGTAATTTTGCGAAAACCCAAGGGGCTACCTAAATCTGGTGGAGCGATTGGTTGGGTCATAGGTTAAAGAAAAGCGTGAAATCAAATAGATGGGCCATTCAACGCAATAAGGTGGTAGATGTCACGACCACCAACGGCTGCATTGCGATTTTAACACGATTTCCAACTGGTCAATTCAGAGCGCCCTACCATTCGACGTAGACATATGTCGCATTGTGCAATTATGCCATAGACATGACTACAAGTATTGGCCTGGGGGCACATGGATTACACACCAGCTCCCAGCAACCTGATCTTGGTGTTCTCTTTCAAAGTGACTTCAACTGTTCAAAACAGGCTCAGGTAGCTGCGAAATGTTGCAACCAGCATGTCGGCCTGCTTTGAAGGACACTCAGTCTGTCCAATGATGCAGAATTTCTACGTGCACTCTCACGTTGAACACATATCCAAATCTGGCAAGCTTGGTTGAAGCATAATCTAGACGCGTTAGGGGCACCACATCGAAAAGCAACAAGGTATGCAAAGGACTTACGCAACCACTCTTACCACCGAAGGCTGAAGTTGCTGGGAGTTTTCAACGGATGCCACCGAAAGCTTAGAGGCGATCTTATATTAACGTACAAAATATTGAGTGACCCAACCACGTATGCAACCGTTTGCTGAAACAGCCACAGCACGCAGCTCAGGGGGAACTGTTTGAAATTGAGTGAAAAATGTAGCCGTCTAGAGTGACGACGGAATTTCTTTTCCCTTCGCGTTTGCCAACCCTGCAACGCTCTCCCAAACTTAGATGTATCCTCCCCTACGCCGTACATTTGCAAAAAGCGACTTGATGATGCTATTAGCTCCCAGCACTTCGTTACTTAAAATACGCCATTTTGGATTACATTAACCATTCCGTTCTACAGAATTACTGTAGCACATGTACCCAGGGAAACGGCGCATGACTGAACGACCGTATTTCATTTTTCGCGCGCTATGCATCAACGACCACTGCACCTCGTGTATTGCGGTATGCTTGCATTTTCACTAGCGTTAGTTATCTCGGTAGAGGCTCGATATATGACTCAAATCTTTTGATCTCATTGTGTTCACCCCAAACATCCTTCGAGACATGTTATGCACTTGATTTCAAACCGTGTTAAATCACTGTTGATTGTACAGTGTTTAACATAGTTGCCGACATCCGGGGCCCGTGTTGCCTATCACTGCGGCTTCCATATGGCAGCCACATGAGGCCTATGCCGACAGCAGTGGAATGCACTGCATCATCATCAACAACAGCAGTACATCTGCCAATTGAACTGATGCTTCGCCACCGTAAAACCAAGCGGGCCTACGATAGGGAGGATCATAAGCGGGAGACAAAGGTGACTTACTGGAAAACATAATTGCCCTAAGCAAAGATTCCGGGTCAAGACGCTCACATCTTGTCAACAACATACCGTCACAAACAGCTGGTTGTTGTGCAAAGGTAAGGTGGCATCGGCCGGACAGCTTTCTTGCGGATTCCACTGCCCAGCGTCTTCGTCAGCTATTACCCCGCAGATAGCTCAGCACTAAACACACTTTAAATAAACAGTCTGACTAGGAGAAGCAGCAGATGCGCCACTGCTGTCGACTACGAGCCATGTCCTGAAACGTCACGAGCCAAGAACAAGGCTAGTCACGTGGACTCCAACCTGGAAGCCAAGAAGGACCGACGACACCAAGGTTGGTCATTATTGTCTTCATTTCCCACTGCCAAATCAACTTTTGTCCACCCCGAGCCTTGCGACTCCTTACATCTGACAGGCTAAACAGGGCCCTCCTAGGTAAGCGGTAACCGAGCATACCTGCCATCCGACACCAGCAATGCTTCGCAGACAGCGATGCTCAAAGATTTGAAGACGCCTCAGATCTTCATTCCGAAAGGGCCAAACCTCAGTTCCATAAAGTTGGACGACCTCCACTGTGGCGTTGTAAACACTGGCTTTTAGACAGAGGAAAACCCCCTTCTGACGTCACAGATTCGGTGGATTCGAAAAGCAACCCTAGCTTTTGCAAAATGTGAACTGACTTCAGCTGCTATCCGCCCGTCGTTGCTGTGGTAGCTGTCAAGGTAAGTGAATTGATCAGCTACCTCGAGTTCCTCGCCATCATGGGTCATGAGGTCATCAAGTGGATGGTGGTCATGCAGCAACTGCACTTTGAACGTAGGAAACACACAAATAATGTGATCACACTAGAGAACCTATTCATGGTTGACTGTGTCACCGCAACATCGTCGAAGAGCAAGACGATATCGTCCGCATAATCAAGATCAACAAGCATTTCGCAAGGTAGGACATCAACGTCAGTATTGGAAGGCCTCTCAAGGGAACACTCCATGATGTAGTCCACGACGAAATTAAACAAAAATAGGGAAACTGGACAACTCTGACGAACGCCACTTGTTGTCAAAAAGGCATTTGATAAATCACCGTAGTCCCTGACGCGACCTGTAGTGTTCAAGTATAGATCTCGTAAAATGTTCACATATTTCATGGGAACGCCTTTCCACGCAAGTATTTCGAGAAGAATGAATCGATAAACTGAATCAAACGCACTCCTGAAAACGAGGAACACAGCTATTGTCTGGCTGCGGTATACATGGCGCTGCTCTAGTACCTGTCGCAAAGTGAATATGTGGTCTATACAGCTCCGTCCTGGGCGGAAACCCGCCTGCTCTTTCCTAAACCATGCTTCTCTTTCTGCAGTGAAACTACGAATGAGAATTGGGGCCAGTAATTTTGACACCACCGGCGTTAGGCTAATAATCCCTGTGGTTAGCACAGTCGGTCCTACTGCCCTTCTTGTATATCGCCACTATACTCGAATAACTGCAGTTAGCTGGGACAGTCTCTTCCTTCCTGACATGTTCGAACATGCAGGTCAGTTGTTTGCAGTGGATCTGACCATCATCCTTAAAAAGTGCACGTGGGAGGGAATTAGGGCAAGCAGCACGACACAGCTCCATCCACACACACCCATATCCAGTGTAAACCGGCAGGAATAAGACCGGAAGGCATGTGGGTGGGAGCCACGTTTCTTCCACAGGGCCGGCCCACACTCCTTCGATATGCACAGCAAAATCGTTCCACTTTAGCTAAGTGGGAAATCATGCCTACCAGCAGTATCCAAGGCGGTGGCTGGGCCGTAGTCCTCTCCACACTAGCTGAAGCCGTTCTTTAAGCCTAGCACCCTGTCCCTCTCGCAACGATTCAGTCTCCTGGATCCGGTACACGATGGAGAGTGTGTTAGACAGGTAAGCATCCTGTCAACATTCATAACAAGCGCCACCACTCGTTGCATATTCCGCGTGTGGTTTAATTTGTCAAGCACACGTCTGACAGATAGACAGACAGACAGTCACTCGAGTTTATCTCGACACAAACAACAAAGCACATCATGTGTTCCGTCAGCCTAGATCTTGGCTACCCGCACAATGACAGTGCTTATCCCGTATAATCATATACACTCAGTTGCATTTGTCCAAACTTGTGTATGAAGTGCCACGAGCTAAATGGAAAAATTGAACGCTACGAACAACAAGATTATAAACATGCATGTGTCGTTCGTGGGTAGTAAGGGATTTATTGTGTTTTTGAAAAGATTCCTCACAGTTAAACTAAGCCAGATAGACACCACACATTCAATGAAGCGCTAGACAGCCGTTTCTTCCTATTGGAACTCGTCGATAGCGCGAATCCCCAGGATCCTGCTGGATTCGGACCCACGACTTTACTCGTATGAGCCAGTGACTTATGCCGGCATGACAGTGGAGGATGAGCCGCGTTATATCGCAGTTAGATATCATTCACGGCGGCCCGCAGCCGTCACCCATGTTTCGGTGGCATACATGGCTGGCTCGTAAGTGTAAGTTCACGGGTACGAATCTAGCAGGATCCGGCGGGTGTGCTCATTTGACCAGTTCTAAAACGACGAAGCGGCCATCTAACGATTTCATGAATGTATGCTGGGTGTCTGGCTTAGTCTAGCTACGATGTATGTACTCATTAACAGTCATTCGTTAGGTTACGAGAAGTCGCACGTGCAAGTACCCGGTAACAAGACCTGGTGTTACTAAAAGTGTACCTGATTTATATTCTTAATTTGAGTGGGAACCAGCCATAGATGGGGACAGATATGAGGATAGGGAAGGACATGC